GTGACGCTCTCCTTCACTCTGCTTACACTGCGGCGCCCAGCGAGGCACCCCATCTTCGAAGAGCAATGTTGAGCGTAGGTAAATGCTCCGGGAGAGCAGCTGATATGCGGGACTGGCCTCACGGGCGTGTAACAGGTGCGGTCACACAGGCAGCTCTCAGAAGGGCACTCCCTTGCTGGGTGGTTAAAAGGTCTATCACTGTCAAGAAATTCTACTACTTTATCTCTGGACTTGTGTTTTGCGAGTGAAGTCTAATGTGACCATGGACTGTGTCCACGAGCAAAGGACCATGCGTGTGTCGATCTTGCCTCTCTGCCCCTCTGTACATGGCACCCATGGTTACTGCCCTGCTTCCATGTCTCACGTACACTTGTGTTTTCTCTGGGTCGCCCTCCACTCCCATTTACATAGATCCACCAATTCTGTGCTCATGTCTACGTACCTCAGACCACCAACCCATCTCCTGTTAACACAGTGCCACATTTATCAACATGCGCTGCATGTACTCTTATGATCACCTACAAGGGGTGACTGAAAGACGGGATGAATGCTTGAATTAAAAAACATGTTACAGTAAGAGACACATTGCCAAGAATGATAGGAAAAGTGGTGTAAACTGAGTGACAGTGTTAATTTTATTTAAATATTCTCCGTATTACACAATCATCCCTTATAAAAAAGGAAACTGCCTCAGCACAAGGCGACGCCGCTGAATGTAAGGGATCTGGTGATCACTATGCATTCCGGCTTCACTTCCGTCACCCATCACCTGTGCAACTTCTGGGCAAACTGTTAAACCACCCTCTGCGTCTCAGTTCCAGAGAGATTGTGGGCCCAGGGGCTGGGGTGGAGGCGGCCGCAGACCTCCAATGGGCCAGCACCCTCTTTCAGGCTACTGCATGGCTTTCAAACAAGCAGGAATGAGAAGGGAAGCAGGACTTCATGTTTTGACAAGGGGAACTGGGTCACTCCTCCCAGCCCAGAGACTTACGCGGAATCATTAGGATTCAAGATTTTCAAGCATATCTACCCAGACATCCACATCCTAAGTCTCTAGGTGCTATTCCTCCCCTACCACGACCCTGACTTTGGCATAGGAGACTTGTCTTAGACTGAGAATGTATCCTGCTTTGAAGTCTGCAACCTTTCACCTAAGTGGGGGTCTGCTCTTCCGCTTCAGGAAATGAACTTGTCTTTAAATACTTCCAAAGAGATTCTTTAATTGATTGCTTTACATTCATGACTGTTCTGCACCACTTTCTTTTTTCAAAGCGCTGGTGCTTAGCAGTAGCAGCCCTATTCCTATAAAATTACTTTTCTTGTTCCTCTCAAGTGCCAGAGACAGAACATGGGCTTATGCCTCCCCTTCCACTGGCACTCCTCCCACTGCACTAGAATCCGATTGCACTGTGACCACATATCAGAGACCATTGATGTCAGTCCTCCCCCTAGCACTAGGGGCAAGACTCTGATACCCTGTCATCAGTGGGTGATCTGATTCCAGGATCCCACCCTTAGAATTGGTTTTCTGGGACCATTCCTGGTAACTTCTTAGGTTGAGTTCCTTAGAAACTTCTGATACAAGCATCCAGATATATGTGATTTGTTGTGAGAGCATGCAAAGTCTCTAAGGGGCTGAGGAATGCAGCATAAGGAAGGGAAATAGCCCAGCAGGGATGCGGTCTCAGGTCAAGCCTCGTTATGGACAGATCCTAGGGTGTGTGCAGGGTGATGGCAGGTTTCCAAGCATATAACAGGGAGTTACCTAACTTGAGATAGGGGGTCAGTCATTTGGGCCTCCGGTATCAGTCTCAATCACTGGCCCCAGGTGTACCCCCAGGGATCTGTATGGTTCCTAGATCATGTGGCTCCCATAGACCGAGAGCAGTTCTTCAGCAAAGGGGACAACTGTGAACCACTAGTAGCCAACATTTACAAGATCCAAAATAGCTGGGAAATAGGATCTGGGCATCAGGAGACTATGCTTTTAGAATAGTAACCACTGTGATTCACATCACTGGGGTTCCTTCCCCTATGGTTTCTAGTTGAACTGAAAGGATAGGGGGATAGGGTGGGAGTCCTAGCATCACATCACAAGGGAAGAATTAAGTTAAGAGTATCCTTTCCCCTGACCTCCCCTTGTGAGGTAGCCTGTCCACACGATGTTTGCTTCAGGTTTTGGTAATGTCTCCTTTCCTTCATCCCTTCAAGCCTTGCTGCCCTACTATCCACTGAAGTGCCTTTGAAGTCCACCCATATTTTTGTTAAACTCTTAATTATTTGAGGGAGCTGTGGCCTAACATAGCAAGCTGGCAACAACTCATGGGACCAAGGAAAAAGAAAGTTTAGTTTTTAAGTGCTGTGAAAATCCTTCAAAGGGTTTTAATTTAAAAAGTGAAGTATGATTTTTTAACTTGCAATTTTCTGTACTACGGGAAGCTTTCCAGTAATTTTTTCTTTCAAGAAGAGAGGGTGCTTTTATTTTCTGAACCCTCATATTTTTAAGAATACTGCATTTATGACTCTCATGTGTAAGTAGCAACTGGCTGGGTATAAAATCCCTGGGGCAAAGTTGTACCTTCTCAGAAGTCTATGGATGCTGTTCTAATGTTCTGTAGTTCAGTAACAGAAAAGCCTAAGACAAGCCCAGTATTTGCTTTGCTTACACATCACTGATTTTTCTGCAGGCAAGCCTTACTGTTTCTGTGGAGGGATTAGAATTTGCAATGCAGCTTGCTTCCTTTTTTCTCTTTAACTGACTTGTTTAACTTCTTTCTCTTTTAGCTGACCTAAATTGCCTCACACCTTTAATTATACCATCACTTCCCCTATCTTTATGACTTCCTGGGTTATGGAGGCCATGTCTTTAATCCCTTTGCAGATGCTAACACACTCTCAAAATCAATTTAGTTCTTGTAGTGTATGATGTCCCAAACTGTGGTCTTCCTTCGCATCTTCAGCATAATGGACTTACTCATTCAATGATCTGAGCACTGTTACATGTGCTGCTGTGAGGAGTGGTTTAGAGTCTACCAGTGGACAAGAGACAAATTCCTTCTCGTGAAGGCTGCACTGCAATGGGGAAGTGGTAAGACTTAGAAACAAATACTACAGAATGTTACAAGAATTGCTTTGGGAAAACAGCGGGAAAGGGGACTGGATGACGTTCTCAGAGACTATATTCACTGAGGTGAAAGTTGATCAAAAACTTAAAGGCACTGAAGTTCATGGCGCTGTGGGAGGGAGGGCTTTTTGGAAGGAGAAGCAGGTGCAAGGTCCTAACGCAGGACCATCCCTGGTGTCTGAGGATCAGCAAGGCCAGTGAGGCTGTAGCATAGCAAGGGACAGGCAAAGCGGTCAGAAAGCCCTGGCAGGCCACTCATTTACTCTAGGGAAGACAAAGGAAGTCACAGGAGAGTTTTGAGCCAAGGAATGGCATGATCTAACTACACTTTGGAAGAATTATTTTCACCAGTCCGTTGAAAGTGTACTATGGGACATGCAAAAATGGTAGAAGCCTGAGATCAGTTAGACAACTAGCGCAGTATTTCAGGTGAGAGATCCTGACAGCAACGAAGCAGGCAGCCACAGTGGAGACAATGAGAACTGGTCAGACTCTAGATACATTTTAATGCAAGAATCGGGGTCTTCATGAATTAGACATGGGTTGTTAGACAGATCCAGAAGGTATGAATCCACTTTTTGGTGTAAATGATTGGAAGGATTCTGCTGCCATCGACTGAGACAGGTCAAAGGCATGTAGGTAGGACTGGGGCGCAGATTTGTTTGGGACATACTAAATCCGAAACAGGTAGTAATGAATAGGTGAAGTGGCCCCCAATAGGTTGAGTGCAGCTGTTCAGTGAAATCTGAAATAAGGAATAATGATGTTGAAAATACTGCATGCATCTGAACTGACGTCAAGTGGGAACATGTCAGCACAGACATCCCTTCTTGACAGAGGACTGGGTGAGAACTAAGGGATCATATGCAAAAAGTGGACCAAGAGCACAACTCTGGAGAACTACAGTGTTAAATCAGGGAGGAGAAAAACCCAGTAAAGAAAAAACAAAACCCCAGAGGCATGTGTTAAGGGATCAGACTGCATCAAATGCTGATAAGCAGGTGGAGGCTGAGAAGGGACCGCTGGGCTTAGCAAGGCGGAGGTCACTGATGACTTTCACAAGAGTGGGATTGCTGGTGGGTTGGGTACAACCAAAATTCAATTGAAGCGTTTCAGAGAATGCACAAAAGAGAACTGCAGACAGCAAGGACAGCCACATCTTTCAAGGACCATTGCTATAAAGAGCAGATACGGAGTGGAAGCTAATGGGGCAAGCGAGGAAAATAGGTGTTTGGTTGGTGATTTTTCTTTTCAAGAATAAACAGCAGGTTTGTGTGGTGCTAGGAACCGTGCAGGAGGCGGCTCTCCTTTGTGTTCAGTGTCATTCACTGGCCCAAGCAGGAGCATTTTAAAAGACATGACAGTGAGGTCTGGCCCTACTGCCCTTGGGCCTGCTCGTGTCCATCTGGGTACTGGGGAAAATCCCCCCTTACATCTACAGCTAAAAAGCAAACAGTCACTGCTGTACAGCAGGGCATTTAATGACCCTTTACTAAGCATGACTTGGATTTTAGTAGGACCTGGTCTCCCTGCCTGGTTCTCTCGAATCCTGAATGGTTGACAGATGTCAGGTTTTCTGATTGGGATATGAGACAAATCTCTGTACCTTCCTCTCTTTTTGCATGAGTATCCCACCATTTTTCTCCCTACAATTCCATTTTATGCTCAGAAATTCCTCCTAGATTTCATTAGTACATTATACACCTGGTATATTTTTTGGTGAAAGAAATGCTTTTTCATACTTTTTCCTCAATGTACCTTACTAGGAAACTAGAATAGAGTACATCAGGGGTGACAGTGCAGATGTTATTGCTAAATAAGTTACACTTTGAAGTTAAGGCAACGTATGATACACCAAATAAGTCAAAGTGCTTAATTACTGTTTTCTATGAAATAGTTTATTATTTACTATGGAGAGGCTACAAATACATATCTGATGTGAACACAAAGGACTGTGCAATACTGGTAGAAAGTGGTTATGAAGAACCCAGAAGCTGGGAAACAGGGCACACGGCATTTCCCACCACAATTAAAGTATTGAAGGCACTTATCAACAAAGGTTAAATTAAGGAGTGTGAAATGTAAAACACTGATATACTCAAGACATGAAAATTAAGTGCTTAAATTTTCCTATAGTTTGATTTCTGGCATTTTTCTGATTAAAATCTCTGCTTTAGGCAATTTACTTTGTAGCCTTAAAGTATTTAGCACATGACTGAATTTTATTACCTCTTCAACTGAAAGGGACCTAAGGGACCTTAAGGAGTATTATACCATGAGAATGTTTCTCTACTCAGTTATCATCACTTCCGGGTAAAGACGAAACGCCCACTGTTACGTCCATCGTGTTGCCTCTCCGGTGAACACTGGAAGTCAACCTGCACTTACACACCTGCACGCCGGTCTCTGTGACTTCCAGGGCACACTCACACAGCACACTTTCCTCTGTCATTTGCGCCGAACACAGCACTGTGCTGGGGAGACACAGAAATACGTGCAGTCCTTACTTTCACAAGGTTATGCTTTACAAGTGGGTGGTCACACTTTTAATTCCTACTAGCTTGCTCTAAGCAGCTTCCTAGGATAATCGCCATGGAACTTTCAAAGGCCCGGCCAGGTGTGGTGGTACAGGTCTTTTATCACAGCTACCTGGGAGGCTGAGGCAGCGGGATCACTTTAGCCAGAGTTCAAGGCCAGTTGGGGCAGCACAGCAAAAACATGTGCACACACGTGCGCACACATGAAGGCCCGAACCCTACGTCAGTCTAAAGGTGGTGCCATTTGTCTACAACACAGGAGCAGCAAGAATGAAGGGAGGAAGACACACAGCACCTTTTAGCTCCTCTTCAGCCAGTCTTTACACTGCTTTGCGGCAATTTCCTGGACACTGCATTCCAAGCAAATGCATTTAGATTGATTCATGACCTTGTTCCCCACTCACAGAAAAATAAAATGGACGCCAATCACATTTCTATGTGAAAACACAAAATTAGATTACTCGACAGTCCTTGGCTTAGTAATATCTGGACTAACATAATAAGGACATCTAATGGCATTCATGCTCGGGGGGATAAAGTTTCTGGCATAACCATGGTGTGTATAGATAGATACAGACACAGGCTCACGGTGGCCACAATACTGACAGGACATTAAACATGTTTCATAGTGTGTTGGCAATGAAATACTTCAATTTCTTTTTATTCTTTCCCCTTTAGTTTCTTTCAGTATTTACAGCGTACTCTCACATGCTACACATACCTGAGAGATGCCCATTTTTGCTATAAAAGGCCAACAGTATAATTTCCTAATGCAGATTAAAGAAATGCACAAGAAGACTACAGAAACAGGCAATTTATCAGTGAGTTAACACAAGGTATTTCTGTATCTGATGTATATTAATTATCCTCTCTCCAGTTTGAATAATGTTCCGTCTTCAATACTGAACTTTCATCAGTGATTCTCCCAGTTTATGAAAATCTTAGAGCAAATTCCAGTGAGCTTTATCGAACAGAGAAGCCAAAGACCACAGATACTACTGAGTTATGATCAGAAGGAGCCAATTAGTCAGCATTATAATCACAGAACTGCTGTAAGCCAACTGGCTTCTGCAATTTATATAACCTACATGGGCATGTTTTGGGCATAGAGATAGTACCCTGATTTCACTAGTATCAACTAATGTTTGCAAAAGCTACTCGAATTTTTCTGTTCATCTTCGTTGTTGCGAAATAATGATAGTTTTGATGGTGGCAAACTTCATTCTTTTCATGTGCAGGGTGATCTGAGCTGAGTGAGAAAAAGAATGATTAAGAGAAGAAATGAAGGTAGCCGGCTCAGTGTGAACAGCTGTTTCTCTTCAGTTTTGAGCGTAAAAAGCTTCATGTGGCCAATGTTACCACAGTAGCATCATAAACATGTCAGCCATTTTAAACGTTTCAAGATTAAGACCAAGAGCCAGAGATACAGCTCAGTGGCACAGCGCCTGACTGGCAAGCACAAGGTCCTGAGTTCGATTTCCAGTACCAACAACAACAAAAAAAAGACAGACTTGAAGATTAAGACCAAGAAAGATAAAATGATAAAATGAGCTAAACCACCACTGTTACAAAGTTCTAGCAGTCTTACATCCACCACTGGTATTCTCAGCAGAAACATATTCAAATACAAACACAGCTACATATATACAGTATTATCATATAAATATTTCCTTTATTTTTATGATTACAAATTTAAAAATAATTTCATAATTTTTAATAGCCGTTTCTTCACAAGTGGCATACTTTATTAAAAGAAACACTGGAAATGTGCAATCTTTTAAAGAAATAATCTTCATTTTTACTAATAAGTACAGTAGAGGAGCCAGGCTTCTACACCAATTAACAGAAAATGAATCACTTATAGGTCTAGTTCCAATACAAATAAAGGACATACATATGTACGTTAGGACTGATGCTGCCCATTCCATTAAAATATTCCTATTCCCAAACTATTAGCTACTGAAATCCTAAAAATGCTCTCTCTTTCCTAGGTACCCTCTTTAGTCAAAGGGTTTATTAGCAGTTCATATGCTGTCACTTAACTGACACTACAGCGTGAGGAGAGGAAACGAAACTCTGTAGTATGTAAGACCTTTATCCCTTTTCAAATGCTCTAAGCAAACTATGAAACTCAGCCTTTCTATTTAGGTCTTTATAACTTGCAAGTGTCTTAAGTGTCTCTCAATCTGCTTCCACCTTCAAATTTCCAAACAGAACATTATCTCTTAGTACTAATACTGCAGAATTAAACACACAAACAAAAACATCCAGGTTTTATGTCTTATTACGTGGCATCACTATTTTCCCTTTTTAAATGCTGGTTCTTTCCATGAATGCTATTTCTGATTTAAGGTGTCCATGTGCACACGTTTCTGCAGAATCTCCAATTTTATTATGATGGTTCCTCCTCACACACATCAGTGAGCATTTTCATTTTGACCTGTTTGAACAAGGCTGGCATGTTTTAAAATGAACACGCGTTATCATTCTAAAAACAGGCAAGGGTTAATGGTGAGCACTTAGCATTTGGCCGCTGAGCAGTCTGCACTGAGGTTCCCAATGCTTCTGACTTTGTGCAACATTACTGCTGGGGGTGTGGACACTTGATTGTGCTACAGCCATCCAAGGGTGATGGAAACAGAAAATTCAAAACAGGTGATTTTTCTAGCTATAGTGCTTCTGGTAAAAGAGGTGTAATTAAAGAGAAAAGCTATTAATAAAAACAAAGGAAAAAGTTACAAGGGGATTTCACTTACATTAGCATTGGCCCCTCTTTGTTGGAGTTTAACTGACAACAGACTCGACCATGACTGACAGCTCTAAACTGCTCAGTGACATCCTCCAGCAGTCCTATTATCTTCAGTTTTATGGTGTCATGCTATGTTTCTCACACTGTTTAAATTTTCCATTTCTATAGTCCAAATACCAGGAAATTAGTTCTCTTTCCCTTATACAGTCAAAAATAAGTTTATTGGAATGTTTTTAGTTATAGTCGAAGGCAGAAACATTTAGTTTTTATTGTACCCATAAACATGTGGAAACTGCTTACAAAGCAACCATATTATAAAAAGAACGACATCCTTGCAAACATTGGTGGAATGGTTACGGATCTGGTTTAGCATAATGATTTGGTACACTACATAGGCTTTCGGACCCCCAGCCCAACCCCCTCTCGATGCAATGACGCAAGACCTTATGCCACTAAAATACCAGTATGAAATACGGTCACTCAGTGGTTGACTATATACACAAAGAATGAACTGGCAAGTATCTAGTTTCAAATTAGATCCTTGGAATACAGCAAAATAGTTCTCTTTGCTTTATACAATTATTCAAAGTACATTTTATTGGAGGGGAAGAAAATAACTGGACATTCTCAGTGCTCCAATTTGAAGTGATACTTGCCTCTTAGCTTCTTGAAAAAGAAGTTCTGAAAGTTATATACATAGGTTTCATTTAAATTATGCAGCAATCTTTTATTATTATTAATGTCCCAGATCTTGTTTGAGGAGCTCCGTCATCAGCTTAAGTACGGTATTTCACAACTATAACAACTGTGAGAGAAAGAAAATAGAAAAAATGTATCAAAATAAAAAAGTATATCAAAATGTATTCATGTACTGTTAGAAGCAATATTCTTAACTATAACTATGTTCACTTTTACAAAGGGGTTACTGCTGCGTGTGGTGGTGCATGCCTGTGATTCCAGCACTTAGGAGGCCGAGGCAGGAGGATTGCTGGGAGTGTGAGGCCAGCCTTGGTTATACAGAGCACTGAAGGCCAGCCTAAACTACACAGCAAGACTGTCTCAAAGGATGAGACAAAAGGGGTTATGAAGGCTGAACTTTTATCTGATAACAGATAATAAGGAAATACAAAACTATCATAAAACAATGCAAGGGTCTAACACTGGCATCTTGATCAAATAAGCTATGGAATAACGGCACATGGCTAAAATATAAAACTAATCACAGGGGAAATGTTCATAATGCATTAGAAAAACACTTGGATTTATTCTTTTAAAAGTATGTTTATTAATTAACAGGAAAAGACCAGAATATCCAATAGTTATATTAATAGCACCAATCTCTGTGTGGGAGGGTTACAGTTGAATTTTGTTTTCTTCTTTATGCTATTCCATGTTTTCCATGTTGTCTGCCATACATGGTTGATTCTCGCTATTTGAGACAGTTACTGTGTTCTAAAGTAACCACAGACACTACATACTGAACCACTGCTCCTAGGGAAAATATGGGGTTAAGTTCTTGTGAGCCTTTGGTTAATGCATTTTTGTTAATCAATCAACATATAATGTTGTTTTATGTATGTTCTGGTGTAATGTATATATTGTTTAATATATATTACTGATTCAACAATATTGAAATCAAGGCCCAAAACACTATAAGCCAGGCCTGAACAAAGTAAACCTAGCACATGCTTTTGTTCAGGGACATGATAGCCTTCTCACACTTGCTAACACTGGACAGCACTTCAGGGTTATGGTTGGCGGCCATTTTAAACCATGGAATCACGGCAGACAGCACGTAAATGTGGAAGGTGCGGCACTACACACTACAGGAGAAACAGGAAGGCAGACACTGCCTTATTTGAGCCTCTGCTGAAGACCTGCTGCTCAGGAGGTTCGAAGTTCTTGCTGCTCTGAACGTGTCTGCAAGTGACTAGAAACGCTACAGGAGTATTGACCGAGTTGGGGCTCACAAGTAAGTTTCAGCTCGTAAGTGAATTCATAAACTGAGTTCACAAATAACGAGACTTGGCTGTATTTCTTTCTAACAAAACTTTTTGTTTGAACAGATTAAACTCCTATGATTTTTTCAAATGATTTTTTTGAGGCACTATCCAGATGTTTATACACTCTCTATAGACATAGGAGAGAGGCTTTTTGGTGAGGTAAGTAATAACAATGATTTGACCGTAAAACAATATTAAAGAAAAAGAAGAGGAAGGAATTATTCTTTAATGACTAAAATCAAGTTCAAATTCAAGACAAAGACAAACAGAAAACATCATCTGGAGAATTTAACTGCACTTGGCCTTCCAACACAAGTACTACAGCTCAAATTGCTATATCTGAAAATGAACAAACAGAAAAAGCATATCCTTCTAAGTATAAGGAAAATCAGATTTGGCCTTAGAGAAATCGGCCCTGCATTCGAGGGTATGGGTGATGTGCAGCACACAGGTTCCCCTTGAGAACTGGACAAAAGAAATAGACTTTGTACTAAAGAAATGTACACGTGGGCTGGCGATTTAGCTCAGTGGCACAGCACCTGCCTGACAAGCGCGGGGTCATGAGTTCGATTCCCGGTACCGGGAAAAAAAAAAAAAAGAAATGTACACATGCATATTTATGTAAAATTTAGCATGCATTTTTAGAGATCCAAAAATTCTAGCTTAAGGCTCCTGACTCAGATCAGGAATCATTATTCAATCATGGCATGAGACATACTTATCAACTGAAAATAAATCAAAAGGAAATGAAAGTGAACTTCAAAACAAAAAAATAACTCCCAGAAATAATAATTCAGTAAATACTTACTGATGATCACTAGCAAAAGGATAGCAGCAACCAAAGCCATGATGGCTTTTATCTACAACACAGAAAAAGGCACATGAAGAATACTGTTTGACTTGTTAATAAAGCCAGGACTACCTGTCCTGCTACTTACCGTATCACATGAACTCATCAGTAACAGGCACTTTCATTGAAAGGTTCTCAATTTGATTCTCATATGAACTTACTGGCTGTTCTCCCAAAAACTGAGTCTTTGCTTTGCTGGCTTTTGTTGTTCCAGGTTATACTGCATAACAAACAGTAACGAAGCCCTTATGGACCTGGACCTTTTTGTCTACTATTTCACATGCTTATTTGCATGTGAGGGAGGAAAAATACAGCATGTGAAATTTTACCAATTCTGTTCACTGTCAGGATGTGAAGATAACTCAAGCAGCAAGTCCAAATAATCTATTTTAATACACAGAGGGTCTCCCTTATAGGAAGATAACAGGTTCCTTGGCAATATGGCCCCAGTGGATGAGACCCTAGACCGTGCCAAATCCTATGCACATGGTTTTTTTCCTATGCATGTGTACTGATTATAAAATTTAATTGATAAATTAGGCACAGTAAGAGATTAATAGTAACAGAACTATCACAATAAATTGTTATAAAAGTTAAGTAGATTTGGTGTCTCTCTTGAAAAAGTCAACACATATATTATTATTTTGGGGCCACAGTGGTCATGGGTACTGGAACTGTGGAAAGCAAAGCTATGGGGGAGTGAGCACGGGGCTGTGTATATAAGGCCGCATATTTTACAGTACTTATTCTCAAAGCATACGGGAAATTCTCCCCTTTCTCCATGGTGTTTAACATCTCCACTCCAAGGAGTATATTTTATATTCTTCATGAGTAATCTCATTTAGTGCCTAAGACTATTCCATGTGTGAGTTTCACAGGTAAGGTGAGAAACATTAAGGTCCATTTCAGCTAGATGCTAGATATTGTAAGTCCATGTTATCCTCCTATAAAGAACTGTTACATTCATCACTTAACCCTAAAAAGTACAAATTATAAACTTATTTCATTTCTTTAATTAAAATCCTTCATTTTCAGGAAATTCATTAAAAAATGGTTTACTCAGAAAAAAGATACCAGTTATAAACAGACGAAACATTCTAATGACTATCACAAAGAGAGGTAGTTAATGAAATGTTTCTAAAAATAGAATAACTGGTGACACTTTTGTGGGATTACATTCGTGACAACAAAAGAGTAACCCAGAAAATATATGAAAACTTTGCAATTTGGACATAAGCACCTATTAAAATTACTGATTAGGATAACCAAAAAATGTAGAAAAACTCAAAATGTAGAGAAATGGGAGCTATATTTTCAGTAGGTATCTGGGCCCACATTATCCTAGAAACGACCTTAACTTAATATGAAATCATTTCTAAAGAAATGCGGAATTTTGTAGTAGTTTTTTCACTCTGACCAAAACCTACATTAATTTGCCCCATTTAAATGGAAAAATCAGTATCAATTTTAAAACACCTCAACAAGTAATTTTCTTTTGGTTTCTAACATTGGACAGGAAATGTCTGCAACCCCAACGGGCAGTATTTTACTCATATGTGTGCAAAGCACTCTTCTTTCAAGTGCCATGGACAAAACTCTGTCTACCATTAAACATGTGAGCGCCTCCCAGCCTGCCAGACACATAAGAGAGGTCAGCAATTCTCCTTCCCTACTCTCTGGAAAAACCCATTCACTTCCTTGTTTTTAAAGTCAGGTTTTAGGGCTGGGTGTGGTGGTGCACGCCTATAATCCCAGCACTCGGGAGGCTGAGGCAGGAGGATCATTGTAAGTTTGAGACCAGCCTGGGCTACAAAGTGAGCTCAAGGCCAGCCTGAGCTGCATATCAAGACCCTGTCTCAAAAAGACAAAAGAAAAAAAAAGTCAGGTTATATTGAGATATTCTTTACATATAATGATTCATCCTTTTAGAAGTACACTTTGATGGGTTTTGACAAATGCACATAGGTGTTCACCATCATCACCACCAAATAGAGGCTATTTCTACCACTGACGCCCCGGATCCCCTCAGGTCCAGCTCTCATCAATTTCCACCCTCCTCCTTTTTTAGCCACTGGCAACTCCTGATTTTTTGTTCTGTTCTGATAACTTTTCGCATAACCCTCTTAAGAAATCACTGCTCTAAAGTTAACCAAGAAAATGGGGGTATGAGAAGGCAGCCCCAGATAAACAGCAGAACAGAGCGCAGGGTACAGTGGGACAGAAGAAAGATACGCACTAGAAAATGACAGTGGAAAATCCTTGCTGCTCTCAAAGAGCTTTGTTATGTTACAGAACCATGTTCATTACATGGCTGATGCTATCAGTGGTAACTAAAGGTCCTTTGATCTGAACTGTCATAAATCACAAAACAAAAGTCTCTAGTGATGGCTGAAAGAATCTAGGCAAGAGCTGCAGGTTGACTATCTTTCTGTGGCTTTATGATACAGTCATGTATGTTGAGGGAAGAAGAGGTCTGTGGCTCATGAGCCTTTTGCTTTTCCATACTAAAGAACAGGAAATCCTGCTAGAAATAAACATAATGAAAGTAGAAAATTTATTCGTTAAAGAACAAAGAACTTACAATAGAAAACCTCAGTTCTAGACAAGGGGAGCAATGAACTCTACTCCTTTTTTCCTCAGTTCTGTTTCTGGAAGAGCATTTAGCAGGTAGACAAAACTATGTAAATCCAAGGCAGCTCTTAGAAAAACTCCTTAACATATGGCAAAGTCAGCTTTAGAAAATTATTGCTGAACTTGAAAATGAGAAGCTAAAACCAAGGAGCTCATGTCTATATTTTCATCAAAGCCAAAAGTTGTAACGAGAATCAAGAAAAATATATTTGTTCACAAGACGTGAAAGCTACTAAAAATAAAATCTTACAAAGAAATATTTCCTTAATATGAAATCATTTCTAAGGAAATGTGGAATTTTGTAGTTTAATGATTTTTTGTGTAGTTTAATGATTTTTTCATTTTAATGTGGAATTTTGTGTTTAATGATTAGTAATCCCCCACACACACATATATCCCCCCCCAACTCTTTTTGGAAGTCCTGAAGATTGAACCCAAGACCACTGCACTGAGCTATACCCCTAGCCCTTTTTTACATTTTATTTTGAATCAGGCTCTCATTAAGTCACTAAGTTGCCTGAGGTGGGCTCAAATTTGCAATCCTCCTGCCTCAGCCTCCCAGAATATTGAGATTATAGGTATGTGCCACATTGCCTGGCAAGCTGTACTTTAAGAAGTAAATTTATTTTATAAAATGTTCTGCAGAAATATATTAGTGTCCACTGATTCCATTCTTTTCCTTGTTAAAAATTTATTTCTTATTTCTCTGGAATAATGGGATGTTTTCCCCCCTTGATCCTACTTGGAATAAAAGATTCTGACCTATACACTTCTTTATTTTTTCCCTCTCAACATAAAAACCTATTTTTCTGTAGCTCCCATTTCATTAAAAATAACTCTATATAATGATCTAAGATGCTCCAAAAGTACTAAAATAAATTATAAATAATGTGTATTTGTGACAGTAAGTCCAAAGGCAAATAAGTTATTAATAAGATGTGAATTACTTTTATGAAGAAACCTATGGAAATATGCTTTTAGGAATTTTTGATTCTTCTCAGTTTTCTTCTGTTTAATCATGTTCCAGGTTCAGAAGACATAATAAGTAAGACAGTGATAGTCCCTGTCCTCATAGGACTTATATTCTCCAGGCCCTTGTTGCTTCACGTTTATGAATACAACTTGAGATGCTAACCGATGTGCCTGGTATCTTCTGATTTACTTACTTTGCATCCCCGCCACCACATTTGCCTCCGAAGCTGTTTGGATCTGTTGCTAAAAGCAGTTGCATTATCCGATAAGCTTTCTATATCACATAGAGGATGGAGAGAAGGATTAAACGACATAACAGGATTCGTTTATCTAGTCACACAAAGATAAGAAAATATTAATTCTACTTCTGCAAATTTGCTCCCTTTTAAGCATGAACACAACATACACCTTCTCTTTCACCCACAAATTCTGCCACTCTACACTATAAAAAAAGAAAAAAACAAAACAAAAAGCAATGCACAGCTGCAGGCCAGTTTGGTCAATCTACTTTTACTTTGAGATTGGGAGAACTCTCCAGGGCTTCAGTGCTTGAATAAATTGTGGAAAGAAAATAGTCTTAAAAATATGAACACTACATGGAAGCATGGAGATAGATTTTTGCCAGTGGTAAGGAGATTCGAAGGTAAGGGGAGGAGAGGGGAAGCTGACATAAAAAAAATTAGGATGTGCTATGCGCATGTATCAACGCCCCACGTTAATGTCATCACTATGTACAGCAAACGTGTATTAATAAAAAATTTAAAAAGACAAAAAAAATACAAACAGTAGGGACTCAGAGTATAGCTCAGTGGTAGAGTACATGCTTTGCATGTGTAAGGGCCTGGGTTCAATCCCCAGCACCACAAAAAACAAACAAACAAACCTGGCATATCTCTAGAAAAAAACTGTATGTGAAGGTAAGATTTTTAGAAACCAAGAGCAACTGGTTTTTGAAGAAAAAAGAATATGAATTCTAAAAGTTTCGAAGTTTTTGGGTCAAGCAAGTCTGTCAAGAATTAACCAGGTATTCAGCCAGTCACCAAACAAGACAAGTGACTAACACGTGCCAGGAACTGTATGGGCACAAAGACTTGCATCTGTCAGTAAAGAGAAGTTACTAAATCACCAGAGAAGGCACGAATATGAGATAGTCAGCCATGCATCATTCACACGTGAGTGCCTAAACTGTGCCAGGAAGTGTTACTGGTATTGAAACTAACATCTGCCACTAAAGAAAGGTTACTAAGTTACTAGAGAATGCACAAATTAAAAGTATCAGCTGAAGCTGAAACCAATTTTGGAAAAAAATGGTTAGACCTTTATGCCTTAAAATGGTCAGAAACACAAAGCATATCAATACAGAGGGCAAAAGGAAAGGGCACCTCTGAAGTCTTCAGTAACGAATTTAAAAATCCTCCACTGTCACCTGAGCAATCAAGACTCTAACAATGGTGTGGTTCAAAGTAAAAGGAGGTAAAACTAAACCATAAAAAGCATAATCTTAAGAATCAAATGCTAATTTCCTAAGGCAGGATTTCTCAACACTGGCCACAGAGGAAGGAGATGCGAATCAGCAAAACACAGATTAACATCAAGAAACAGGCGAAGGAGCTGTACCTGATTTGTCCTGTAGTTCGTCTAGTCTCTCCCCTCTTTCAATTACCTTTGTGATATTTTCTTGCATGACATCAATAACTTCATCCACCTGATTCTGAACACTAGTTTTAAAAAAAGATAAAAATCATTCTCTTAAAATATTTACAATTTTTGAAACTTTTATTAGACACGCTAGAGAACATGAAAGGCTCAGAGAATTACAGCTTATTTTTAAACTACAAAATGTAAATAAGCACTGTGCTTCCACTTGTGGGCTTGAGTGCTCAGACAATGAAAGGTGACCTGAGTTGGGTGTGGTGGTGCATACCTGTGATCCCAGCTACTTGGGAGGCTGAGACAAGAAAGAGTCAAAATTAGAGGCCAGCCTGGGCAATTTAGCAAGACCCTGTCTCAATGGACATATAGCTCAGTGGTAGAGCACTTGCCTAGCATGTGTGAGGTTCAATCCCCAGTGTTACAATAAATAAATATAACACAATATAAATTAACATTTAACTGAGATACAGTTTTAGTCCTGCTCCTAATAATGTAACAAATAAACAAATTAAATTTACTGTCAGAATGTTTAATAACAGTGGAATTTAGCGACACAGCTTGACTCTCAAGGTTGCATTTTCTTATCAACAGGCTGCTGAAGCAGCATGTACAGCAATAATCTACCTTTGCTATGTTTTTCACACACAAGGGCCAACAGAAGTGTTTGCCCGGGTAGGTTAGAGGATTGCGGAAAACGCTTCCTGTCCAAAATGGAAATGTAAGGCACACCCTGAGAGACACCCATGTTCAACGGGTAGAACTCTTCACTGCACTTCAGTTTTTTCCTAACCTTACACAGAGTTTAAGACAACTGTGAACACTCGGGAATGTTTTGAAGTGCTCATCGGGGGGCACAAATGAAAAATACTTTGAGGCCTTTAAAAATGAAAATATGTTTTCCGCCTTTATTTTAGGAGGAAAATTCTAAATCAAATTTCAGATTATTCAATAAAAACCAAGCTTAAAAATTAATTGTTGTTGCCGGGCGTGGTGGCGCATGCCTATAATCCCAGCACTCAGGAGGCTGAGGCAGGAGAATTGTTGCAAATTAGAGGCCATCCTGGGCTACAAAGTGAGCTCAAGGCCAGCCTGAACTGCAGAGCAAGACCTTGTCTCAAAAAGACAAAAATAAATAAATAAAATAAAATAAAGCAAAATAAAAATTAATTGTTGATCTTCAACTACATACTGTCATACATGAGTTATCTCAAGCGATATGCCTAATTATTTTGAGTATCTGGTGTCTGATGCTATAATCAGAAAATAAAAGTGTAATTACTTTATGAAGTAAGTCACAGCAATTAAACATTTAAAAGGACAGAGAGAATGAACTCATGGTTCTTATGACTCAAAAATATTTAAAGTACTGTTAGTAACTAAATAAACATTAAACATGTATGAATATTAAATAAATATGAACATACAACTGTATTTCTCTTCGGGGAAGAAGTATATTCGCTCACTAGAAAAGCTTGTAAAAATTTCACACATTTCTTCTCTTTTACCCCACATTATCCCCAAATTAACCCAGAGAGTTAGGGTCAAGGCCCAGTCACGTGTATTTTTTAAAAGAGCTCTGTCCTTTTCCTACCACTGAACTACTTCTTCAAAACGTTTGGTTTAAAATAAAATGAGGGGCTGGGGACACAGTTCAGTGGCACAGTGCCTGCCTGGCAGGCACGAGGTCCTAAGTTTGATTCCCAGTACCCAAAACCAAACCAAACCAAACCGGAGTGAGATCCACGTAGACAATGGTGGATTCGGAAGTGCTCTCTCAGTCAAGCAGCAGCTAGCATGCGTCATGATAACCACCTCCCTCTGGTGTTCGAAGCATTATATGCGCCCACTGACTGCACGAGCCTTCGGGACCCATCACAGGGTCCCGAGTCCCCTGCTCCCCACGCATCACTCCACTGAGAAAACGTGAGACTGAAGCTCAACCAAGCAGGGATGTGCAGAATTCACTTCTGCTCAGATTTTACGAACCACTGGAGTCTCTAAGAAAAAGTCTTTTTTATCAGAAATGCTAACTCCCTAAGCAGAGAGCTACCAAGTGTGTGTTCTACACGGGAACAATGGCATAAATACTCACGCAGCTAATCAACTCACCCAACAAACAGTGAGCACCTGCTGTGCACTGCTTTAGGTACTAGGAAAACCAACAGGCAATAATTCCACAGCTTACGGAACTTATGATCAAATGTACAATGAAGGCTTTACCTTAACCAACCTTAAAGCTTTCAAACAGCCTGTTCTACTACATTACTGTGTTTTATTTTATTTAACATCAAAGTACTTACTTCTCACTTAATGTTTATTTTCTGCATCCTCCCACTAGTTGGACTCAATGAACGAGTGTAAGGACCTCGCCTATTTTCTTTTTTTTTTTTTTTGTTTTTGTTTTTTTGTTTTTCTCCGGTACCGGGAACTGAACTCACGACCTTGCGCTTGCCAGGCAGGTGCTTTTTGCCGCTGAGCTAAATCCCCAGCCCCCCTCGCCTATTTTCTCTACCTACTGCTCCCACTGGTGCTTGGGGCAGAGCACATATTCAATAAATACTTGCTTAATAAGTGAACAAGTTCAGTGGGAATCCTACAAAACAAAGCCAGTTACCTGAGAAAGCGATATAAAGCAGTGACTGTAGAGCCCTCTATGTAACTATAAAATAGAAACAAATGTACCATTTACCAAGGACGAATCTGGAAATTCCCAGGTAGTTATTTTTCACCTTATACAGATGATAGTAATTAATAGCCTAAAATAAGGCAGTATGGCAGGGTAGGAGTGGACAAAATGTTGGATAGCTTCTACACATGATCAAATTATAGTTATTATGACTATTAATACACCTATATTACACATGGTTTTAAAATAAAACCAAAAAGCTGATGAAATAGGTATAATTCCAGAGTCTGTGTAAGAAAAAAGATTCCAAAGACATAGGCTGATTAACTAGAACAGAACCCGTACAACCCTAGATTAATTCTCTCTAGATTATCAGAAACCTACAAGTATTACCTCAACAACAGGCTATACATGTAATACATCTTTATCGCTAATGGGAACCCTCCCATATTTTATTTACTAAATGATCAAAGAATCATTATTTTCTTTTTCACAAGTTACTATCCATTGGCATTACTCTCAGTCCAACTACTGTGTAGCATTTATTCAGTAAGAGAAAATCGCATCGTTGTGTTTTTATATTTTAAGATATTTTTGTGCCCAGAACACAACTTCTGTACAAGAAAAATAAAAGATCTTATTTACTTTAACAGGAAGGACAGTTTTTATGAAACAAGAGATATTTTCTTGTGACCTTTTACATTTTCATAGTAATTATAATCCTTTACTTTGTATTTCACGTTTATTTCCAATATTATGTTATAAATGCTGTGAAAGCAGAAACTGTCCCACCCATTCTTTTATTTCCCACTGAAATGTGCCTCATACAAAGTAAGTATTCACCAAACATTTTCTTTTCCTTTTTTTTCACTAAGTACTTTCTAATCTAAAATATTGAATCTATTGAAGAACACTTATTAGGAAGTTATGCTTTCATCAAGGATACCGAGATGATGGTTATAACCCTGTGAAAATGGATATCCATGAGCATACTAGCATGTGTCAATTACTATAATGGAAAGAAGCTCACGGTGTCAGTCATGTATCCTAGGTGAACCCAGCCTGGATCAGAGACGGCATCAAGATCTTGGTGCTGAGTCTTGAGGGGTAAAGAAGGAACTGGGCAGAGTAAAGGAGGTGGTAGATAGTGGGACGGTTCTAGACCACTGGTGGTGAACCTACGGCACGTGTGTTACTGTGTTTTTTCCTTCAAGACAAAAGATGTTAATGTAGAACTGTTTTTTTCTAAACTAAAACCTCAGCATTCAGGTTTAACTGCAGTGTTGGCAGTTTGCAATACGTAAGTGGGTTTGGGGTCGCAGTTTGGCACTTGGTCTCTAAAAGATTTGCCATCACTATTGCAGACTAAGGGACAGACGTGTGTGAGGGGGTTATCTGAAGAGCTAAGTGATTAACTGGATGTTGGTAAAGGAACTAGGGGCAGAAATGGATATAAGACTTTTAAATTTATAATCTGAACGGCAAGTGGTAGCAGATAGATAATGGCAATTAAAACAGAAAATTAAGAACTCAAAGGAATAGCAAGTCTGGAAAGGAGAAGTGGAAATTTATACCATGGCCTTCAGGTCATTTAGTAGAAGATGACACAAGATAGGACGTAACTAGGAAAAAGTAAGGACACATAGGAAATCATTTTTAGTAGTGTTTCATATTCTCTGACAGCCTGGCACCTGTGCTCCTAAGCTGTCACTGTTCCAGTCATCATCGGGGAAGCTGCCCCGTGGAGGCAGAGAGCTCGGGTTCTATGTTCACACAAAACTAGGTCTGCAATCCAGCTGATCACTATGTATGTTCTTCTGGAAATTATTCATACTTTTGCAGCTTTAAAACACAAAGGATAATATCTGTTTCACCTGTAAGAATTAAATGTGATCATGATTTGCAAACATTCAGCACAATCCTAATGCTCTGCACATGCTTGATAAATGTCAGGGACCTTTGATTAAAAAAAAGGCTTCATGCTCTGCAGCATACACACAGTCATCCCTTATTTTATAAAAAAAGTATTTATTTTAATAGTTAACATCCCCATCTTGTGGCCTTTTAAGGTACTGTTGACAAAAGAATTTTTGTAGTTATGTTGTATTTTTGCAACTCAAACACATTGCTGTTATATCACGGAACATTCTCTAGGGGTTTACAAAAGTGAAGCTGATTTGACCAAGGCTACAGTCAGCAGATCTCTTACCTGTGACAGAATATCTACAATAGACAAGAGCAGGAGTTAAAAGCATACTACTTAATTTAAAAGAAAGAACTATTCCAATGGGAATTATAAATTCTATATAGTTCTATAAATACTTAAAATCTTTCCCCCAAAATACTCCCTAAAGGGCGATGTTGGGTATTTTTTGTTGTATTAACCTTTCATCAACATTAATAGTGTCCAAATTCAAATAAAGGAATGTCGCTCATCTACATAGTCAAGAAATACCCTATACTGAAAGATTACAAATTAAGTGGTGATAACATATCTTACGACATTGGCCAATGTGGGTTACTACCTAATGCCAGGGAGTTTTCCTTAGGCAAGCGGTGTGGTAAGTTGTCCTCTGTCATCTTGAGCACACTGATGAGGCATGTCCTGGTTAGAAAGGCATTCGCAAGTTTGAACTACCAAGGTTTAATCTGTGCCTTGGATCACTAATTTCTAACTAAACCTGGCCAGCGTTCAGCTCTAGTGTAAGAACCATTATATTTATTCTATAATTATTTTTTTAAAGTTCTGTGATTACCAAAGTTATTGTGCATGCATACAGTTTACGTGTCTTATGGATGACATACTTACATAGATATATTCTATAATGACTGACTACTTTGTATAACTGGTAGTGGTTTTAGGGTTCACCTGGAAAAATTGTACTTGGAAGACCCCACAGGTCAAACTCCATTAACAGGCTCACTCTGCAGGAGAGTATCAGACAGCAAACAAAGCATACTGGCAGGACAACTACCAAATGTGTCACCAGTGGATTCCCCCTCTTTAGTGATAGCTTGGGTGTATGAGAATAAGACCACGTAGGTGGATACAGAAGCCAGTGGCTCAGTGTAGGGCAATGGCCCAGCTATTACACGTTAGTGCCCTTGCAGACATGTCTTGTGCTGCCCTAAAAGCCTGAGAGAATGAGGGGCCTGTGGAGCCACCTCCCACTGACCACCATGTTATCACCTCTCATGTACTGATAAGGTGGGATCTTTCAGTAGGTTGTACCTGCAGACTGTAAAAACCACTTAGCTGCATTCTAAAAATCGCTCCTTTACCACAGGGCATCCTGCAACAGGTCCTGTAGCCACCAGGCCCTTTTGTTTCGGTATCATCATTTCTGGCGGGTGGGACAATGACCCTTGTCTACCTTTTACTCTCTAAGTAATAAACTGTGTGAACCTAAAAGCAAATTGTATCTTTACTGGTTAAATCAAAGACATGAAGCAGTGGACATTTTGTCTTCTGGAAGGAATTCTGTTCAGAATCACCTGAAGGTGGCCACAAGCCTCCAGTGAGGCTGTGCACCTCGTGACAACTGGACCGCAGGCCTGTGAAACCCTGAACGGAGGACTCACACAAGCAGTCCTGGAGCGCCTGACGCACGGGAACTGAGTGAGATGATAAATGTGCATTGCTTTTACACATCAAGTTCATAATTTGTTACAACAATAGAAAGTTAATGCACCTAGAATAGTAACTGCATCAATTTGTTGGTACAGGTTAAGCATTCCTCATCTGAAGATCTGAAATGCTCTAAAGTAAGAAACTTTTTAGCGCTGACAGAGCACCACAGAGGGATATTCCCTATCTGACCTCCTGTGACAGGAAGCAGTCAAAATGCAGTTACACTAAAAATATTGTACAGTATTACCTCAGGATATGTATATAAGAAACATACATTAATTTCACGTCCAAATTTGGATCATCTCCCCAAGATATCTCATTATGTAAATATTCCAAAATTCAAAAAATCTAAAATTCAGAATCCTTCTGATCCTATGCATTTCAGATACAGAGTACTCAACTTGCACGCTGGTTCCCTATCTTGAAAGCCTTTGTTAGAATTAGGCTAAAACAGATACCTTTCTTCACACCAACAGTTAACTGATTAAAATTAAAGCCAAAATATCTGAGCAGTAACTAAGGATTCTATTACAGTACCTTCCCAGCTATACCAAGGATTAGGGCAGTGACTTATCTTTCCCTAGATCCTGAGTCCGGGTCACTTAGTTTATCTTCCATAGTTTGTCATACAGTATAGGCTGGTCAGTTTTTAGGGCCTTCCCTCACGTGATTTTCTGTTCTGTCCATTCCTTCTCTCTTCTGGTCATGACCCATACTTTTCCAACAGTAGATACATTCACTGTAGCATATTCATCTATCACCAGAAGTTTTAAACTGAAAATCCATTAGCCATAAAACTAAGAACAATATATGGATTAGGATGAGATAGAAAAATTCAGGAAGTAGATAAAAGATGCTACAAACTAATCACATGTATTCTGTTTTATGATTCTGAAAATGGGAATCAAATTATAGATTAGAAACCAAAATATACCTTCTTCAGATTATGCTAAATGGATCTGAAATAACATAAGAAAAACAAACAACCCTGCATTTTCTGAGTTATAAAATTTAGAGGTAGCTTTATGAAAGTAAAAATATGTAGGTTTTTATAATCTAAGAATTATGTTTAGTTCATATTAGGAGTTAGCAATTTTTTTTCTGTAAAAGACAGAGAGCAGATATTAAATGCTGGAAGCCATAAGATTTCCATCACAACTATTTAATGATGCCATTGTACCTCAAAAACTGCTATAGATAATCTGAAAACACATGGGTATGGCTGCTTTCTGATAAAACTGTGTAAAAGACAGACTGGCAGATTTGGTTCACAGGCTATAGTTTTCCAACCTCTGGTTCACATAGAAACATGACAATCATTTAAAGAAACAAATATCTCAGGAACTTACTGCTTAATTTTATCATTTCTAGGTCCAAATCTTGGTCCAGATGGCCCCCTTCTGAAAATAAAATATCCACTTTATATTAGTCATGATAGCACCCAACAAAACCAAAATACACACATCCATATATAACATCAAGCTGAATTTTAACTGTGAGCCAATCATGTACTGCAAGGAACTACATCGTACTGGTATTGGTGGAACTGAATGACACATGACATATGACGTCTTCCTTTACTGGTACTTTCTGTAAGCCACAATTAACCTAATTTTTTTTGAATGTTAAAACTTTCTGAGAAGTTAGGACTTACACAATCCTTAGTAACTTAATATTTGTTTCTAATCATTAAACCCTGAAATACCTAACAAAACTGCTGGTGAATATGAATATTTCTATGATCAATTCTAGAACTAAAAGTGCAATTCACCTTGAATTCAAGTTATGATAAAATGCTGACAGAGAGGTGGACAGAGAAAAAAACTCATTTAAAAGCCAAAAACTTTTTAGTATGCTTTTCATTACTCATTGTAAACCTACAAGCATAGCAAAGGAAAAATGCAAGAGTAGAAAAAAATATTAACATTTCTCAAATTATTATTTATTATAGTCAACTGTATATCCTCTTAATGTACTTTGACATTCTTAAAGTGGAAACTTTTGGATATTTTAAGTAATTATCATCTTTCTGAAGACAGAGAACAAGGCATGTACTAAAAAATCTCGAGATTCTTTTGTTTTTTTTTTTTTTTTGGTTTTTTTTCTGGTACTGGGAATCAAACTCATAACCTTGTGCTTGCCAGGCAGGCGCTGTGCCGCTGAGCTAAATCCCCAGCCCTAACAAACTAGATTCTTGAGGTTCTAAACATACAGTAGTTTCTAAAGGAGATAAGAAAAAAAAAACCAGCTATTGATAAGAAAATATTTTTGAAGGAAAAAAAATCAAACTGCTTATTAAAATTGCTTAACATACTTTATAAATATGAAAATATCATCTTGCCTTAACTCTTGCTTTTTCCTTACTGTTTATAGCTTCATCTAAGCCTGGGAATACTGGACCAGTATTCCACTCCACAGTGATAGGTTAAACACTGACTTCACAGAGAAAACTAATATTCTGAACCAGAGGAACTACAAATGGGTGAACTGAAAAGCATAAAAAAGCAGTTATTAGTGAGGAAACTACAAAGTGATACAGATATCTGAAAATTACTAGATTTAAATCATTCCCACCGTAGGCTTTTTAAAAAGAGATCTACGTTTGTTTCATCTATTAAGTAACCTAAGACTTTAAAGTAGTTACCAGAAAAAAAGTTGGTTTTTCTGAAAATTAAAAATTGATTGAACTTCAATCCAGACTGTTCAAGAAAAACAAAACAATCCACAAATTACATCTAGGAACAAGGTGCGGATGCTACCACAGAAAGTGTACCGGTGACATCAAGAGGTATGAAGGAGGCCAATGAGGAAGAATCGCAACTCTCTCTACTATCGGTGCAACTCTTCTAAAGTCCACAATTATTTTTAAATCAAAAGTAAAAAATCCCACAAAGAAAACCACAGGACTACATGATTAACAAAACATTTAATGAAGAAATAGTATCAATTCTACACACATTCTTCTGGAAAACTGAAGCCAGACTATTTCCCAAGTCATTATACGAAACCAACATTAATCTAGGAAAACTGAAGACACAGCAAGAAAAGACAGTAACTATCAACCAACCAATCCTGCTCATGCACACAGATGCAAAAATTGTTCACAAAATCTTAACAAATTGATTCCAACAATGGTTTAAGAGGATAATACATGATGGATGACTAAAGTAGGGTGATCCCAGGAATGCAAGATTGGTTTAAACTTCCAGAATCAGTCAAGAGAATTCATGACATTATGAAAAAAAAAAAAAAAAGATAAACCATGTAGTCATCTGAACAGATGTAGATGACATTCTGACAAAGTTCAACATCAATTAATAATAACTTAGCGAAGCAGGTCTAGAATGGGGCTTTCTCAATCTAATAAAAAGCATCTAACCACCATGGGGCACCACCACCCCTGCAGTAAAATCAAACTCTGATGAAAGAAAGAATGCTTTACTATACAGGACATCAAAAATGGACATTCTTGCTCAGCATTTCTATTTAAAACTGTACTGGAGCTTCTAGCCAGAGCAAAAAGGTAAGCTACAGAAATCAAAGGCGTATGTATAAATAGGAAGAAGTAAAACTGTCTTTATTTGCAAACAGCATAATTGCATATGTAAAAAAATCCAATGGGATCTATAAAAATACTACTAAAATTAGTAAGTGCATTTAGCAAGGTTATAAGAAACCAGCAATGAATAATATGAAACTAAAACGTTAAAAAAAAAAAATAAAGAGTTTTTAAATGTCATTTTTAGGAGCATTAGAAAGTATGAAATACTTAAGAATAAATTTGGGAAAAAAGTATTCAAGATCTGGACACTAAAAACTACCCAACATTGCTAAGAGAAATTAAGGGCTATAGTAAATACAAAGATGTATGATTTTCATGCATTAGAAAACTCAACATTATTAAGATATTAATTCTTCTCAAGTGGGTCTGTAGGTTTAATGCAACCTCAACCAAAATTTCAGCAGGACTTTTTGTAGAAATAGACAATATGATTCTAAAATCTGTATTAAAATTCTTAAAAGCTCAAATAAGCCAAAAGAACCTTGAAATACAAACTTGAAGTACATATACTACCTTGCAAATTATTAAAAAGACCTAATAGTCAAATTGTGGTACTGATTTAAGATAGATAAACAGGCCAACCGAAGTGACCAGACTGTAGAAATAGAGCCACCCATACAGTCAATTAACTTTTACTGTGGTAAATATAAAGCAAAATTTGCTGTTTTAATCATTTCAAGTGTAAAGTTCTATGGCATTAAGTACATTCACATGCTCTGCAACCATCACCAGCATCCACCTAGACAACTCTCACCTTTCCAAATTAGACATCAAACTCCTCATTCTCCTCCCTCAAAGCCCTGCCAACCACTATTCTACTTTGTTTCTATGAATCTGACAACTCTACTACCTCTCCTAAATGGAATCGTGGTATTTTTCCCTTGTGACTGACTTCTATTACTCAACCTGATGTCTTCAGGGTTCATTCATATTGCTGCATGTATTACAATTTCTTTTTAAAAGCGGAACAATATCCCTTTTAGGTATTCTCCACTTTGAAGGACACAGGTTGTTTTACCTTTTGAGCACTGTGAATACTGCTACTGGATGTCAAGTAGTTTTTAAAAATTATTTTAATAACTTTATTTGGTTTGTCTCCTTTCCAATACACAGAACAGCGTGCGGAAGCTGCATTGTAAACATCGTGCCAATTTGGTTGTTAGGCCCTTTGGAAGGTGTAACATTACTTAGGAGTGGATCACCGCTGGCCAGAAACAGTAATTCTCACACAAAGGTATCAAACTTAAATTCAGGTAATCACTTATGTACCCAAATCTGGCTTTCTTCTCAATACTGAGTTCCTTTCTGATAGGGAGCTACTGCCTTAGTCTAAGGTTTCTTCTCAGTGTAACGTGGCAATGTAGGCACTTAGCTTTAGGATTCTATGGAAATCTTGTCACCTGTAAAAAATTATTTCCGTGTATCATCTTGATGTTCCTGTCAAAAATGACAGTATTCTCTGTTATTGGACTTGTTTTCTGTTCTGTAAGTTTTTATCATCCATTGTTTTGTGGGTTTTAATTAATTTTTATAAAATATTTTCACTTAAGAAAAAAACCCAGCCTCTACAAAAATGTTATAGTAATTGAATAAAGGAGGATGTAAGCGTTTCCTCAGGTATATCCCTCTTTATAAACCCCTAGAGAAAACTACTGCAACACTGTTGTGCTTCCTGACTTTACAGATACAAATCTAGAACTGCAGACAAGCACTTTCTAAATTTAACTCCCAAGGGTTAGTCAGGTCAGTCAGTTTTTGGCAAGATATCAAAGTAACTTGATGGAGTAAAGGAAAAATCTTTTCATCAAATGGTTATGGAACAGTAGATGGCCATAAAAACCTTTTTATCCTTATCTCAGCCAGGTATAGAAAATTAATTTAAGATAAGTTACAGGCCTAAATTTAGAAGCTAAAACTCTAAAACTCCTAGGAAACAAACACGTGAAAATTTTTGTGACACTGAGTTTGAAATATGCTTCTTCAATATGACTTTAAAAGGTTTACCCTTCTTTATAGCACAGAAGTATTCCACTGTATATAAATACCACATTTTCTTCATCCACTCATCTGTTAATGGGCATCTAGGCCATTTCTAAGATTTAGCTATAGTGTATGTGCTCCTATAAACACGGATATGCATGTATCACTGTCATATTATGACTTTAACACTTTTGCAAAAATACCTAGAAGGAGAATAGCTGAGTTGAATGGAATATCTATTTTCAGTTTTTTGAAGAATCTCTAGACTGATTTCCATAGTGGTTATACTAGTTTACATTATCACCAACAATGCAGAAAGGCTCTTTTATTCCCCTAAGACTTGCCAGTATTTGTTATTACTTAATTTCTTGATGATAATCATTTTTTCTTGAGTAAGATGGAATCTGGGTTGTGTTAATTTACATTTCTCCAATGTCCAGTGATGAACTTTTTTTTCCAAGTATTTATTGGTCATTTGCATTTCTGAGAAGTGTCAATTCATTTTGGGTGCACATTTTGGACGGGTCTTTTATTTTGAGGAGTCCAATTTTTTTGAGTTCTCAGTATATGCTAGATGTTGATGTTAGTCCTCTGTCTGAGGAATAGATGGCAGAAATTTCTTCCTGTTCCATAGGCAGTCTCTTCACTCCACTGGCTTTTGTTGATTCTTGGTATTATTTCTTGTGCCACTGGAGATTTGCTCAAAAAGTGCTTGCCTACACCTACATCTTTAAAAATTTCACCTACTTAATCTTCCAAAAGATTAAATGTTTTTCTTTTAACATTTAGATCTTTGATCTATTTTGATTTTAGTTTAATACATGGTGAGATAAGACCACAGTATTAAGTGAACTCAATCTGACACACGTTTAAATATCACATAGTTTCTCTTGTATGAGAAACCCAAAATATAAATAAAGAGCAAAATAAAAGATAACAGGAAGAAGGGAAATCTTTTTCAAATGGGAAGAGGGTAAGAGGTGGAGGGAAGGAAGGGGAGGGAAAGGGGACAGCAAAATAAAAAGAAATGAAAGAAAAAGAAAAGGTAACAGCTTATGCAAAGGATCAGGGGACCAAGAGTTGAAGGGGTAAGGAGGGTGGGAGGGATAGGGGACAAAAAAGAATTAAGGTGTGTTATATACAAGTACCACATCCCTACAGTGAGTGTAATCATTATGTGCTGCAAACATGTACCAATAAAAATTTTACAAAAATTGTATAAATTGATTTAATCAAAATCAAAGCTTTAAGCTTTGATATTGTTAAAAACTGAGTAAGTGAAGTTACAGATGTGGAATATTTGCAAAGCACATAGCTGAAAAAGAACTTGTATCCTGAATACATAAAATTCTTATACTTAATAAGACCATACCGATAAGTGAAATAAACCAGACGCACATGTGCAAACATTGTACTGTCTCCCTACTGCGAGAAGCTAAAAGAGTAAAGAAGATCCAAAATGTACAACGGATTGTGAAATGGGAAGAAAATATTCAAAAGGAAAGGGAAACTGGGATGGGGGAAAGAAGAAAAGAAGGGAAAAGCAAAAAACAAATCATAAAACAAGATAGTTAAGATAGTTATTCTAATTTCTCTTAGTTCATTGGAAAGAAAGGCTTGTGCTAATATTGTTTGGACAATTAAATGCCAACATCTTGTACTGACTAATTTAAAGATAACAATACTCAACGTATTAATCGTTGTTATCCTCCTATTACCTTGTTTTGAAATTTTGTTTTATTTTTTCTCTTTAAAATAAAAAAATAAATTTAAAAGGGCAAATTTAGAAAGAGGTAAGGGCTACAGGTGTAGCTCAGTGGTACAGCACTTGTCTAGCATGTTTAAGTTCCTGAGTTCAATTCTCAGCATGGAAAACATAAAACAAAATGAAACAGAAAATGGAAAAGATATGAACACATACTTAACCAAGTAAAAGGATGGAAAATAAGCACACTAAAAAAAAAAAGAAGAAGAAAGAAAATAAGCACACTAAAAGATGTTCAACATCATTTCTCATTAGGGACATGCAAATTAATATAACAATGAGATACCACTACCTACCCACTAGAATGGCTAAAGTGAAAAAAAAAATTAATTAGATACAGTGTGGTAAGAACTTGGAGCAATTAAAACTTTCAAACAATACTGATGAAAATATAAACTACTACTACTTTGGAAAACAGTTGTACACTAGCCATTTCACTTTGCGACAGTTAAACTGGACTGTCAATTTGACTGGCTTGAAACTTGCCTAGGGGATTAGTAAATAAACTCCTGGGTGGATCACGGAGGCAGGACCTTGGGTACTTTACCTCGTCCTTGGCCCCTCTCTCTCAGGTACTGTTCCTCCTGCTCTGCTTTCTGGCTGCTATCAACTAAGCAGCTCTGCTCTACTCTACCACCATACTATTTCTGCGAGTTGACTGTGGAGGGAATGCTCAGAAACCATGAGCCAATAAAACCTTTCCTTAAACCAGGTATGGTGGCACACACCTGTTATCCCAGCGCTCAGGAGGCTGAGGTAGGAGGATCGTTGCAAGTCTGAGACTAGCCTGGGCTACAAAGTGAGCTCAAGGCCAGCCTGAACTGCATAGTGAGACCCTGAATCAAAAAGACCAAAAAAAAAAACCAAAAAAAAAAAAACCAAAAAAAACCAAACCAAAACACTTCCCATAAAGTCAGCGTTGAACCTAACCACTGCATTTGATTCAGTTCTTGTCCAACTTCATTTGTGACTAGAATTGTACAAAGAATAAAGTTCATGAACCGAGGCACCACTCTATGCATTTTATATGCTGATTATATCCTGATAAAGCTGTGAAAAACAAAAATAAAACTTACAGAAAAAAGTCCTCTTCTTCATCTGAATCATCTTCCAAAAGATTTCTCTGTCAAAAAAAAAAAAAAAATTGCATTTTCAGATGCAGAAGTCTTACGAAAATATCAAAGAGGAGTAATGAAACACGTTTTCTATACGAGTGAAATCTAACTGCAAGCTTCCAGGCAGAGAGAAGAATAATTATACACACTTCACTGGAAACTAAAAGGCATGGAACAGACTTGCCTACCCACGGAAGAAATGTGTGTAATTCCAGAATTCTACAGCTGACACTGCAGGTAGTCAGGAAGGTGCAATCCCTTCTTTTCCTGCCTTCCAGTCTCTCTCTCTCTACTAGCAGAATTTAATAGGGAGCCAAGTGAAAGAAAAAAACACAGTTTCTGGAGTTCAAACAAAGCAGAATAGAGGAGTAAACCTTACAGCTGAGAGAGGAAGGCTTAATAACTGATGCAGTTCACCTACTCAGTCTATAAACAGCCCTCTACACAAATGTGAACTTCAAAAAAAGGCAACTTTGTATTTTTACCTTCTAAAATAGAACAATCTTCCTTAAAATGAAGCTGGCCTTACTATGCACCCAGGAGAGGAAGACAAGAATTTCAAAGGACATGGAAGAACTTAAGCAGTTTGCACTTGCAGACTGAAGAATGGCTCTCCATGTCCTAATCACCAAAATCTGTGACTGAGTTAACTTGCATGTTTGTAATAGGAAGATCATCATGGATTACTCACGTGGGCCCAAGCTAACAGAGGGGAAGTAGGGAGACGTAAAGAAGGGGTAAGGAAAGGGGAAGAGGGGGAGAGAGACACAGGAAGGGCAGGAGCCAGCAAAGGCAGGAGGCGGACCTGCTAGAAGGGAAACACTCCTGGCACCCTGACTTTAGCTCCGTAAGTCCCATTCTAGACTTCCGATCACCAGAAGTGCAAGATAATAACTGTGGTGTTTTAAATTTCTGGAAATTTTTTTATAGAATACAAAATGAATAATTCGCCCATGTACCTTTTTGAGGAAATTACTGAAGGAATGACACCAGCCAAAATAAAATAAAAATCTAAAACCAAACAATACAAAAAAAAATAAATAAATAAAAATCTTTAGAGATGAATACAATCAAAGAATCTAATAAAATGGGTGGTCAAATTTAAGTGGTTGATAATAAGATTGTACTATATGTACAATAAAGCTACTGAAAAAGATCAGGGATAAATAAAGTGAAGTTTTAAAAAGCCAAAAATCTTTCCTAACAAAGCTCTGAAGCCGGGAGTGGCGGTGCGAAGTGAGGAGGCAAAAGAACACTCATATGTTCATTTTGGCGAGAACTGGAAGGAAGGAAGGAAGGAAGGAAAGGAGGGGAGGGCAGGAGGGAGAGAGGGAGGCAGTGATGGAAGGCGGGAGGGGATAGGGCTAGAAGCGGTAAAGCAATGGAAAGTGCACAGCTTTTGGTGTGGTGACAGAAAACAAAGTTTAAACATTAAAGTTTAAACATTACTGCTAAAATATAAAGTTAGTAATGAGGAGATAAAGAGAGGAATAGAGAAAGCAAGTAAAATTGCTAAACTACCTGGTGGCTCTAGAGACAAGGGAGAAATGACGAAGAATAACCCAGCAAAGGGCATAAAAACGGAAAAATATAAGAATATAAAGAATATCATTATATCCATGTAAAACAGTATCATAAGGAGTAATAAATGAAAGAAGCATGTATCAATACGCACTTAAGTATTTTTGAGCATTTTCTATGTGCTAGGCACTGTTCTAAGTAGTAAGTACCAGCTTTAAATAAGACAGGTCTTAACCTTCACAGAAAAAAACGAGACAGTGTTAAATGTTACGCAGAGAATTAAAGCAGTGATGGGGCACAAAGTTACAGGGGGATGGCGGGAGATTAGGCTATCATGGAAAACCATTCTGAAAAGGTGAAATTTAAGCTCAGATCCAAAGGATAACAAAGAGCCAGCTACAGATTGGGGTGGAGAACATTCACTGCTGGCAGAGGGGCCAACTGGCACGGAACAAATCCAAATATTATTAGTTCTCACCACAAATGGGAATGGTTTGAGTGTGTCTCTTTCAAAACAAAGACCACATGTAACTGGAATTAAAAAAAAAAAAAAATCACACTAGTATCTGTTTACAAAAAATTCACCTAAAACAAATGTCAAATAATGAAGAGAGAGGTAGAAAAAGGAATGGAAAAGACACATCAACAAATTCTAACCAAAAGAATGTTAAAAGTTAGTAATCTAAAAAGAAATTTTAAGATAGACTGTTAAACAATCAAATAAGACTTTATAGTGGCAAATGTGTGCAAAATCCACCAAATGGATTTAACGGCAATGAAAGTTTATATACCTTAACAATGTAGCTTCAAAATATGTGAAACAAAAGCTGCTCAAATTACAAGAACAAAATGGACTATGATCCAATTTGTTTTTTAGATGATAATATAAAGTGTGTTTATTATAGTTGTACACTGAGAAATACACATGAAAATCTGTACCTTCCTCACATTCACTGAACAAACATGAGTGTTAAGGACACAATGTCAGTAAAGTACAATGGGATACAGTGAGACCCTCTTCATGCTCTAGACAGACAGTAATAGTAAGTGTTGATATGGATGTGGAGAAGCTGGAACCCTCACGCACTGCTGATGGGAATGTAAAAACTGCAACCACTTTGAAAACTGTTCAGCAGTTCCTTAAAGGGTTGCGTACAGGGTTGCTAAGATACCCAGTCATGCCACTCACCTAAGAGAAAGGAAAACATATGTTCACACAAATATGTGTATGCTGATATTCATAGCAGCAGTATTTATAATAACCAAAACACAAATGCCCATCAACTACTACATCACTAAATGTAGTACATCTGTACAATGAAATTTTATTCAGCAATAAAAAGGAATAAAATATTGATCCTTACAACACCGACAACATTAAGCTAATGAAGCTGATCACAAAAAGCTACAAATTATATGACTTTGTCTATAGGAAATGTCCAGAATAAGTATATCTATAGGTTTTTGGCTGTCTAGGGCTGAGGGGATGTAGAGGATGAGAGTGACTGATGACTGCTAAAGGGTACTGAGTTTCTTTTAGGAATGCTGAGAATGCTTTAAGATTGACTATGGTGGTGTTGGTACAACACTGTGAGTACACTGAAACCCAATTTTTGTATACTTTAAATAGGTAAAGTGTAAGTTATATGAATTTTTAATCAATCAGCTTTTAAAAATTGCAGTAAGAAAGAACGAAAGTTTAAAAAGTAATTACAGATAATTATACCAGTTATCAAACCTTACAATCTGGCAAGTATCCAATAAGAAGCTTCTATTTACATTGTCAATTTTATCAGGTTCTGACAGCATCTAACATCCTAGTTATACAACATATTGTGGCAGCAATCAAACCACAATGTAAACAGTCTCAGTAGGAGAACTGATTGAGACTGTGTTTTTATTATTTTGAGACACAATCTCACCTAAGTCACTAAGTTACCCAGTCTGAGTTCAAATTTGTGATCCTGCTGGCTCAGACTTGAAGACTGCTTAGACTATAGGTGTGTGCTACTATATATGGCACCATACATACATACATATATATATATACACACACACATATACACACACACACATATTTTGGTACTGGGAATCAAACTCATAACCTTGCAATTGCCAAGGAGGTGCTGTACCACTGAGCTATACCCCCAGCCCCATATTTTTAAATATATACATAAAGCTTATTTTAAAATGCCTAGGTTCCATCCACGGTACCAGGAAAAAAAAACCCCGGTGTTGGACATAGAGGGCCATACCTGTAATTCCAGCTATGCGGGAGGCTATGGCAGGTGTTCAAGATCAGCCAGCCTAGATTACTTAAAACTTAACAAGACCTTCTCAGAAAAAAAAAAGGTGAAGGATGAAGCTTAGTATCAAAAAAAAAAAAAAAAAAACCACAAAAAAATAGCAGTTAGTCTTTTTGTGGGTTCTACTCCCCATCAAATTAGAAAAAAAAATATGTAGGAAAAGTAAGAATAAGAGAAAGGCAAAATGTTTTTGGATTGCATTAAAAGATAATTCTAAGTCATAAAATGTTGACTGCTGGACAAAATGAGTAATATGAGCTTCTGAGGTTCCGAGATTATAAAAAAAGAGCATACAAAACAAGGTCAGGTGGACTAAAAGCTTTCTAAGGGCAGTGGCCATGCCCATGTCCTCCAGGTTGTAACACAACACCTAGCACATTGTAGGTGGTCCATAAATATTTATTCAATGAATCAATAAATGAAATAATCACAAGAAGGAAGGAAGTGAGGAGTTTCCTGCGTTTTTTCTCTTTCTCTCTCCCTTCCTCCCTCCCCTTTTTCTCTGATTCTTTTTCTTTAAGGTGCTAAGGAATGAACCAAGGCCCTGCTGCATGCTAGACAAGCGCTCTACCACTGACCTATAGGCAGCCCCTAATTTCTAGATTTATACATATTTATGTAGAGTATTTGGAATGAACTAGATTTGAAGTATTATATAGATATTCTTGACTATGAGACAATTACAGATCTAGAATTCATTATTTACAATTACAAAATCTAAAAACCTCTGTAAGCCATAGGTATTGCTAAATTTGGTGTCAAATCTCACTTGGAGGAAAACTTGACCTGCACTGATGTTAGCTAATTCATTTATATATTTAGTTAGATAATCATATATTTCACTGAGAAACAATACATTCGGAGGGGCTGGCCTAGGCTGTTATGTAACTTGCACTTAACCATCTTTCTTCAATCTGAAAAATTCTGAAAGCAAATAAATACATTTAAGATCAGAGTTCTATATAAGATTTCTATTTGTATAAAATTTTCCTTGAAAGATTTGAAAGAAACTGTGAACACAATGATTTGATCAATAATGGAAATAGAATTCATTTGAGCTGTAAATCTTTTTAGTATGTTTACTATGAATGAAACAATTAAGATTATAGTGTTATGCCTCAGAAAATGGTACCTCAAAGTGAAGGACTCAGAAGCTGCCTCAGTAGGAAAGTTTGTCTCTTATCTTTTCCTGTCTCTTACCCTCATTTTCCCCAAGGCAAGCCATAGAAACTCAAATTTCTCTTTCCCAAAGTATACTAGAAACCAGAAACCTTGTTCTTCAAAGCCAGTCATAAAACTCAAAAATATTACCCCAACCTTCTCCTACTTTTCTAACTAAAAAGTTAGATGGCTATAAAACCATCCTCTAACAGACCCTGTGTAATTGTAAGTCATAAGACCTCCATTCTAAAAAAGTCCTACGCAGCCCTCAGAAAGAAGAAGCGATATACAGAGAGGCCAAGAAGAATCTGAACAAACAGGCTGTCTGAGTTTCCCTCCCCACCCTAGGCTATCACTATTATATAACATTTCTTTTGTCCGATCGTATTTGTACATGGCTATCCAGGCTAAGCATAAAAATGTTCACTTTAGGTTTTGAGGTCTTCAATCAGAAGGCTCCAGTGTCATGTAAAATGATGATCAATTAAATCTGTCACACTTTTCTCTTGTTAACCTGTCTTCTGTCTTAGGGTATCAGCTATGATACCTATCTGCTTTAGACCAAGCAGGAAAAGGATCACTGCCTTTTCTGCCCCTGTATAGCCATAAACTGTAGATTTTATCATTTATAAAGGGAATGAAAACATATTTTGAATTTTTCTTTTTTCAAAGCTTAAGATTCTAAACTTGCTGGGCATGGTGGCACATGCCTGTAATCCCAATGCTTGGGAGGCTGAGGCAGGAGGCTTGCCTAGAGTTTGAGGCCAGCCTGGGCTACACAGTGCGAGTGTCTCAAAAAAAAAAAGATTCTGAACTTACCCTTTCACTTTTCACAGAACCAGTGACATCATCATCGTTTAGGTGGCGCTTAAACTTGGGAGGCATACTTTTTACTCCTGGAGTACTTTTTTATTTCCCAGTAGAGTATTCAGCACCTGAAGGATAAAATAAATTTCATTAGATTTGAGATTGTAGTGATAAGAGGAAGTAGTTAAAACAGTGTACAAGGCCCTGGATGGTGGGCTCTCCCTCACTTTTCTGACTACTCCACTCCAGCGACCCAGGTCTACTTATTAGGTTTAATGAATGCAACGTCCCTAAGAAAACACATGGAGGAAATGAGTAAATTAAGGATTTTATAAAATAAAAAAGTAGATTATATAAAAAGAGGGTACATTAGGAGATAGTTCTGTGTAAATGTGAAAATGTTTTATGATTTTATTGGAGCGGGAAGGTAGGAGTACACTTCTAGTTCTCTCACTTTCAGTTAGCTGGGTAAGCAACAACTGTTTCCTCATGTAGAACAGTGATTCCTACTGTAAGTTCTGCATGGAGTTGGGATAGTCATATCAAATAATACATGCAACGTCATCTGTAAACTATCATGAGACTATGTTTGGTAAGTACTGGTATGATACTGTGATGTATAATACAGTAATGTGTGTATATATGTAAGTACTTACTGTCTATCTATCTATCTTAGATCTTCCTCTTGTTTCTTCACATACAGTTTGTAAAATCCTCAGACTCTCCCCAGAGTGATGTGTGCTTTTTCTTTTTTGTTGTTTTATTTTTGCTAATGAGATGACTGGCGGCTGGCAGCCCCTAGGTAGCTTCACAATAGAGGCTAGTCACAGGAAATACCAAAACATGATTAAAAGGTTGGGATGTTCAGCCCCAGACAACCCCCAACCTCCAGGGAGGACACTGCTAATGACCAATGCTATAATCCATTATGGCTTACTAATGAAGCTTTCCTAAGAATCCAAAAGGTCAGGGTCCTAGACAGCTAGACACACAGAGGTTCTGGAGGGCCGCTTGCCTCACTGGGTCATGGAAGCTCTGAGCTCCTTCTCCCATACCTTGCCTTATGCATCTATTCCATCTATTTATCTGTATCATATGTAATATCCTTCATACTAAACCAGTAAACAGAAGTAGTGTTTCCTTTAGCTTTATGAGTTATTTCACCAAATTAATTGAATCCAAGAAAGGAATTGTGGGCACTCTAATTTATAGTTGGTTAATCAAAAGCACAGGTATAATAACCTGAGGTCTGTAACAAGAATTGGTAGTGGAGGCAGCCTTGTGGCACTGAGCCCTCAAAAAGTAGGATCTGATGCTATCTGCAGGTAGATAGCATCGGAAATGAATTAAATTAAAACATATTCAGCTGATATAATCTCGAGAATCTGCTGTAAAACTGCTTATTTTTGGATGGGGAAAAAATTCAAACACATTTTGGGGTCACAGAAGTGTTCTGCGTTGCAAGAGAGGAGAAACAATTTGTTTTTTGTATATTAAAACAACTAGGTCAAACGAAGCCTGCCTCACAGCCTTTTATATGCTAATATGTACTGTGATTTTTTTCCAGGAAAGTGCTCGAGTATGCAACATAATCAAAATTTTCTTGGAAAAAAGCTGTCCTATGCATATATGAATTTTCAGTATTTTGGACCAGATGATAACTAAGTATCCAGGAATACAGAATAGCTAAGATGTAGTGAATGTTTCCTATATGCTGGACACAAATATATGTGCATTTTCTCAGTAGTTCAGAAACATTTTGGTCTTCAGTGTTATACACACATTTTCTCTTTTATTACTTATGACACCCTGAAGTAAGCACAAGAGGAGAAAACTAAGACTTAGTAAAGATAAGTAATAGTGATAGTTCCTTCATTCATTGAAACAGCAGATATAATCCTTAAATCAATGGCTATGAATGATCAGTTTTAATATTTATTCAATTAGTTGCTATGGGTTATGCAACTCTGTTCTAGAAATACACAGTTCCTTGTCACAACCCAGTAGCCGTCTATTTTCTTCCACAAGAAATGAACCAGGTATAGTTAGACATTATATGTCTCATAAAGGTATTATATAAATGCTTTTAATGATGTCTGAATCAGGTATAAACATTAGTTTGTTGGTTAATATTATACATTAAAAAAACAACAAATAAGATCAGGTTATAGTTCTATAAACCAAATCAAAGCAGTATTTTAATTCAGTTTCCTGTCAAAACAAGCGCAAATACTTTCCTTGATTAAAAAAAAAAAAAAGCTTTCAAGCCAGAAAGGGAACCACTTGAAACATAAACCAAATTCTTGCTACCTAAGAGCTCTAGAGTTCTTCATTCCCCAATATTCGTCACGTACGTCTGGCCTACTTTACTTCTCATGCTTTGATTTCAGATTAATTCATTCATGCAGAATGTTACAGAATGCACGGAAAAACAGATGACAAAGCAAATAATTGAAGAACTTGAGCTCTTTCTTTCATTATATGTGTTTATTTTTTAAATCCTACAAAGGGGCAGCCTCAACTAGCACACAACAGACAGATTTATATAATGCCTTTACGTAAAGTAAAAAGCTAAAACTTTCATGTAGAGTAAATCTTATATTGAGGGTCCACAGGATCAACCTCCAAAGTGCAAGAAACTCAGGTCTGACAAATACAAAAACAATCAGCAAACCAGCAGGCAAATTAACTAGCTACACTTGATGGGCCACTGGGCAACAGACGATATTTGTACCAAACAACTAGTAGAAATAAACTGTGTCCAGAAATTAGAATTATACGTATTCTGCCTTGCATTTCACCTACACAAAATTCTTGTCAGTTCAGGTAAATAGGTATGTAATTGAGAGAGCTATCGTGATCTACTTGCACCCTGAAGGTAAACACGACCACATAATTTACTTAAGCCTAATGCCCTGTGCCTCTCAAACCAACATCATAAACGTAAAATTTCACACATGCATTTTCTGAAACAGCACCTTCTCTATGCAATAGCACGTTCTATCCAATTACACGTTTAAACTTGTAACCTGTTCTTTGATAAATGCTGGCTTATTTTTTGGTTTATAAAACAACAACCCCCTCTGTATTACATTTCACAAAAATCTTGCATCTGGGCACAGACTTTCCTTTTCTCAGCCACCATTCCCCTCACTACTCCTTTTCTTCACTTCTCATCAGCCGTCTCGGCTGGGGGCAGTTTCACAAATAAAGTGAGTCGGAGGGACACAGACTGGAGATGACACTCGCAGAACCTGTCAAGTGCAGTGATTCACCCCCGCCTTCCGGGCACCAGGAACACAGCAGGGTTGGCGCTCTTTCTCCATAGCCCTTGAATCAAGAATCAATTCCGTCTACTCCAGCTGGCGGCTCTGTTTACACACCGCCTCCTCCCGCCGCCCCCCCGCGTCCAATCTATCGCACCAGGCCACGCACCCCAACATCTGCTCCTGACTCCGGCACTTCCGATCCCGAGACACCCATCCCGTGCCAGGCTGCCTCTCCACCCCGGGCACTCTTCCCTTCCCACCTCCCCAGGGCGCCCCTCAATTCCAATCCTTAGTCCTCTCCGCCGCCCCCACCCGCACCCCAGCGCTCGTCCTTCTTCCTCCCGGCGCCCCAGCCCCCGCCTTCCCACCCCGGGCTCCCTTCCCGGACCCCGAGGCCAGCGCCAGCCCGACCGGACGTTGGGGGGCGGCGGGCAGGGGCGTCGTCCGTCTCCTTCCTCCTCACACCTGCCCCTCCCGCGGGGACAGGCCGGCGCCATACCTGCGGCTCCGGGGAGCTCCCACAGCGCTCTCGGGCAGCCTGGGGCGGGTGGGCGGCCGGGGAAGGCGCCGGGAGCCGCAGAGGACGGAGGGGAGGGGGACACAGCGGGCGCGCACCCGGCGACGGCCGCTGCGCCGGCGCTGCGCCCCCGCTCATCGAGGCGATCGGTGCTCCGCGGCCTGGTGCCAGGCGAGGGGGCGGGGCCGGGCCGCGGAGATGGTCGAAGGAGTCGATCTGCCCTCCTTTCTTTACCTGGAAGAGAAGCCGGTCGGCGAGATATGGCTCCTCGGAGTTGTACCGTTGAAGGGAAGAACACCCGGTTCTCGGGGGCCCGACCCTGGTCGGATCGCGCTCCGGGGTGGTGGAGGGAGCTCCGAGAAGCTACTCAGTGATGGGTTTTGTCCGTGTAAAATTCTGCCAGGGCCATCATGGCGGCGATCCAACATGGCGTTGGATTGCAAAAATCGACAATGTGTCCTTTCAAGCCTGACTTCTGTGTTCTTCCCTCAGTCCCAGAGTAAGCTCCCTGCTTCCTTTTCGCGCGAGCGCGAGCCACTCTCAAATCCTGAGATATGACGCATCACCTGCCCTTACTCCACCCCTAGTCTAACCTAATAAAAATCCGTTCCCTAGCTCCCTCCTTCGAGGGTCCCTGCAGTCTCCTGCAACCCGCCCGCGCCGACAGTAAAGGCTTGCCTTTTGTCTGCATCAGTGCCTCCCACTACCGCCAAAACCTAACACTCACGGGCCGGGCACCGAGGTTGGAGACGGACTGACAGGCCGTGAAAAGGTGGTGCTTTGGGTCAGAACTGTCCCCGGGCTGAGCTAGAGTGGAGGGGCGGGAAGATCTGCTTCGGATCATTGTTTGCAGAGTCAGTTAGACTGGAAGAGACCTGTTAAGGGTTGCTAGTCCAGTCTGCTCATTTAGGCAGCAGTAATCTCTGACCCAGGGAGGACATCTACTTCAGCTTACATCGCTAGTTTGGACAAACTTGGGACCAGGGCTCAGTGTTCTTTCCCCCATTATCTCTTTTTTTTTGGCGGGGGGCGGGGCGGTTCTGGTACCGGGAACTGAACTCACAACCTTGCGCTTGCCAGGCAGGCGTTGTGCCGCTGAGCTAAATCCCCAGCTCCGCTCCCGCCCCCCATTATCTCTTGATTGTGGCGGAACCAGATCCAGACACCGGAGCCTTCAGGTTTCAGGTGGGAAATAATTCTTGTGCAACCATTCCGCTGTTTTTCACCCTACCCCCCGCCCCAACAGACACCCTGTCGATTTTGGTAGAGTACTTATTTAAACCTCCAAGCCTGAAGTAGCCGGGCATAGAAATCCAAAGAATTCCTTCTTTTTTTTTTAAACCTTTCCCCCGCAGTCTGGTTGGATTATTTAGTGCATTAAAAATAATTTATTTACTATATGTGTTTTTAACTTAATATTTATGAGTCCTTTGCTCATAAGGTGTTTTTTAACTGTCTGAAATACTGTACCACTTACTTTATAAAGGTATAGAAATAAGAAGCAGTGTTTAAGAATAAGACAAGAGAACAGGAGGAGAGAAGCCTTGGGAGACTGGAAAGGGAGAGAACAGGCCTGTCCATCGTCTCCCATTCCTTCTTGGTTGATGGAGGTTGTGACCTGAAAATGTGGTAATTGAAAGATGCCTTGGCTAAGGCAGTGTTTCTCAACTCTAGGTGAATCACCTGGGGTTGTATTACTTGGAAAGCTTTTACTGCCCAAGCACTACTCAAAATCTGACTTAATTGGTCTGGTTTGTTCAGAAACAGTAAGTCATGGGGTTATAAACTGAAGCTTCTGAAAATCTAGTGTTAGACTTGCTCAGTAGCTGTGAATGTATTACTGTGGAGCCTGACTTGGACTGACTTGGTCCACCTAGAAGAGAAGCTTCTTAGTTTGTATGTCTGTCTGGGCACTATCATGATACTTTCCCTGACTGCAAAGATGACCCAGAAGTTACTGTTTTTCTCCTACAGTTGATCTTATATCTGTGTTTTTGGTTATTATGAGAGGTTTCCCTGCTTTGTTGCCTTAACCAATTACAGCCTCAACTCTATGCTGACAACTTAAGACAATGTGATTACAATGTGAGCTATACAGGCATTGTCATTGTACAGCTTTTATTAATATCCTGTCTTTAATTTTAACCATAATTCTTTAGTACTACCAATTGTTTTTGTATGATTGCTTAGGGCAAGGATATGGAAGCCCTACCTTTTAATCACCTAAACAAAGTCCCCTCAACTATTCCCCAAATTTGTGAAAATTTAGAAAATGTCATTTTACAGTTAACATGAATCACATATACTAGTAAGCCTGGAAGACTATAAATAGCACTGAGCTAAGAGTCAAAACCCCATCCAACTTTTTTACTTCCTTATTTTTCATGAAATCCAGTTATTCCAGTGTCCTTATATTTTCTCTTTTATCTTTTCAACACAAGATCTTCATTCACCCTCCACTGAGGGTGAATGGTGTTCTAACTAAAGAACGTAAGTTTTGCCCTTCTGCAAGACTAGACCTCTGAGCTTCTGCTGGTTTGGGGAATGGAATCTGAGCATCTGATTCTTAAGCAGACTTTATCATTTCTCCTATGTTTAACCCATACTTTGCTTTCTTCTAAAATTACCTGGTGCTTCCCACTCCTGAGCCTTGTTCAGGCTGTAGTTGTGTATCAGGTTGCTTCATGACCTGCTTAGGGTTGCTGTTTCTCAAGCCTACTGGGTAGTTGCCATTTGGGGTAATTTACTTTCTAGATTTTAATATTTTGTTGCTATTGCCTCCTATGAAGCAGAAATAGTATAAATCAGCTGTAAGCTTTTGCTTACTGGTATTGGGATTATTAGAAATGCTTGGTGCCACACCCAGTGCAGCTCTCGAAATTCTCAGGGTGAAGGATGGTGGAGGATGAAGAAATAAAGACAAAAATCAGAAAACAAAGCTGAGGTCAGGTGGAGCCCTCTCTCTGGATGGGAGAAAAGCAACTGCTCAGAGACTGCACCACTTGGCAGGTTGGTGTCACATGACATCCCTCTGCCTGGAAACCTTGGTTGCACCTGGTGCTCTTTGGGCTGGAGAAGCTTGTTCACATGGCTTGCCTCCAATGCTGTTTGTTCTCTGGCTGATTGATCTCCAGCTTCAGCCACTTCCCACAGCTTGATACTGAAAAAGATATCTGATTTGGATAGTTTGATCCTTTGTTTTAGTTAAATGGCAAGGGTCAAAAGTCTGATAAGTGTTAGATGTGTGTGGCAGGGACTGTGGGAATAAGATAGGAGGAACAAAATTCTTACATACTTTGTCACTAGGAATGTAAATTGATGCAAAAGTTTTAAAATTTAGGGTAACAAAATATTCCCAAATTTTATATGAAGTTTATTTGACCTAACAATTCTGCTTATAAAATTTGTCCCATAGATATACATGTTGCATAAAAGTGTTTTATAAAAATATTTTTGCAAGATATTTTTAATGACAAGACTAAAAAAAAAGACAACTGTCAAGGAATAGGAAATTGCTGAAATAAGTTATGGCATGTCCATTCAATGGAAAAGTACACAGTCATTAAAATGAACTAGATAGATGGACATATGCCAACATGCCATATCTCTGTGATATGTTGCTGTAAGGTGAGAAAAAAACAAGGTACAAAATAGTATGGAGATTCTATTTCTTTTGAGTATCACATTCTTATGCACACCACCAGGACTGAAAATCTAGCATGGAAAGAGTTATGAACTAAATTATATGCCTTCAAAGTTCATACAATGAAGTCCTAACCCACACTGTGACTGTATTTGGAGAAAGAGCCTTTATGGTGGTAACTCAGCTTAAATTAGGCTATAAATACAAAGCCCTTATTTACTAGGGTTGGTTTCACATTCATTGGCCTAGAGAAGAGGTCATGTGAGGACACAGTGAAAAAGCAGCCATTTACCATCCAGGAAACCAACACTGCTGAAACCTTGGTCTTGGACTCTGAGCCCCTATAATAATGAAAATATAAATGTTTGTGTTTAAGCAACCCACTCTATGGTATTTTGTTATGTTAACAGTATACTAATACAGAAGGGAAATCTTTTCTTGATGTGTGGTATTTTGTACCATTTGAAGATTTGTATGGTGACTATAGCTTTTATAACCAAAATAAAATTATCATAGAGGCTTTTTCTTCCACTAAAATTTGGCCCAGTTGCTCAGTTAATTTAAAAAGTCAGCTAACTGGCACATATTTTAAAATTGGAAACATATACTTTACTCTTTTTATGACTCAAATGTATAATTGTATGTTTATTGACTGATCCTTAAAGTAGAACAAAGACCTTTCATCTGAGCATAAATTTGGAGAGTAGAGTGCCCACTTGCCTTTATTATAGATTGCTTTGCTTATGATTTCCAGTTTCATTTTTCAAAATAGAGGAAGAACTTAAACATATTTCAAGCAGTTTGAGTGTCAAAGTCAGTCTATACAATTTTTCTCAAAGTTTTATTGATTTACCTGACCCATGTTGTTCTGCCGTAATTTTTGTTTCTTGTTCACTTTTATCAACTTAGTTTCCAAAGCAATAAGGATTTTATATTTGAATTTCATAAGTATAAATATTTAGTACTGTAATAGGCAATAAATAACTTTAGCGTGCAAATATAAACTGAATCTTAAAAACATATAGCTCAGCTGGTTTGGAGAGAAACTGCATGAGGGTCATAGGCCTCTTGTGCTCAGAGAACTATGGTATTATGTAAATACAGTGTTAATTTCAGTTTGAGTTTGAAATAATCTCAGACTTATCAAAGAAGTACAAAGAACTGTTGTAAACTTTTTATCCAAATTCACTTACTATTAACACTTTTTTTTATAAGCCCCAACTCATAAATGGATTTCATGACTCACCATGTAAATAAAATAACATTCTTTTTTCTCCAAACATGAAGAAATAGGGGGTCAGGGAGTTCATGTGACTGTGTAACATTTCATTTTGTTTGTTCTCTATTCTTCTTCTAAATATGTACATCTTCCTCAGTTATTTGAGAGCTAATTATAGACATCATGCCTCTTTATTCCTAAATACTTCAGTGAGTATTTCATAAGAAGAAGATCATTTTCTTTATAACTACAATTCAGTTGTCAAATTCAGAGAATTTAACATTGATACTAGTAACGTTTTCTAATAAAGTATCCGTACTCAAAGTTGGCCAGTAGTCTCAGTTATAACCTCTGTGGTATCACTGAATGAGTTTACAGAGAATAGAGAATAATGAATAACAGGGCAAATGGGTTAAGTGGAATGTGATTTTTAAGACAGATTTGACTTGTTTATTTTTTCTTAAAAATATGTATAATGAAGTGGGAATACCCAGACACCTTCCTCATGAAACTTTAGGTGTAACATTGTAAGACAGACTTATAGAAGTGCTTTGTTTTTCTCCAAACTGTTGTTTATTGATATAAAACATTGCAAGAGAAGTTATCTTGGAAAAATTGCCTCCCACAAAGATGGCAACAGCAGAGGAGCCTGTGTAAAACAGTAAAATCCTCTAATTGTGTTTAACTGTCCTTTACTACTTCTCTAAAAGTTAAAAATGGCCATCATTTAGCAAATGCCTGTTTTTAAGCACTATTTTAGTGATCAACATGTTATTTCTGCATAACAATGTGTTGGCATTATGTATCATTTCGTTTGTTTTATTGATCAGAAAACCAAGGTTCTGAGGTGACATTATGTATTTTGTCCAAGGTTAGAAAATGGACACATCAGTAAATATTGAAAAAGCTATAAACTTAAGGAAAAATAAATTTTTATCTAA